TATAATTTTCTGTAAGAGTTATAAAATTCAAAATTTAAGGTCCAAACCCCATAAAACAAATCAAATACTTTTCCCCTATGGGAACTTCCAAGTCTAAAGACATGTCTGAGTTCCCACTGTCTTACAGTCATGATAGTAAGTAGCACCACTTCTTCACATTTTTTGCTTTAATTGTCTCAATGTCTTTCCTCTTGCTGGTCTCCCACCTTCACAAACCCTTACTGGTTAAATGTTGTTCAGAACAAAATACCATACACCAGGTCTGGTATAACCAATGCAGACTAAATCAGGATTCTCCCTCTATTGACTCAAAAATAAATTGCTGTCAGTATCCAGCTATCAAAAGTTTAGTTTAAAAGAATGCTAAGCAAAATTTCAGAGCACAATTGAGTGATTCAAACCTAAAAATGTTTGTTTGGTATTCCTATTTTACTATAGTGACTTGTCTTATTATTATTTTAATTTCTAGCTGTAATTGTGAATTTTATCTATTTCTCTTTCATTTCTTTTAGTTTCATGTATTTTGAAGCCCTGTTATTAGATTCATGTACATAAGCTTGTTATGTCTTCCTGATGAATTTAAATTTTTAACATTATGTTATAGCCCTCATTATCCGTGGTGTTACCCTAAAGCAGGGTTCCTCAAACTACGGCCTGCGGGCCACATGCAAATACAAATATTGTATTTGTTCCTGTTTTGGTTTTTTACTTCAAAATAAGATATGTGCAGTGTGCATAGGAATTTGTTCATAGTTTTTTTTTAAACTATAGTCCGGCCCTCCAACGGTCTGAGGGACAGTGAACTGGCCCCCTGTTTAAAAAGTTTGAGGACCCCTGCCCTAAAGGCTACTTAGGACAACTTTAGCATAGCTACTCTAAGTGTCTTTGGCTCCTGTTTGCATAATATGGATTTCTTCATCCTTTTGCTTGAAGCACTCTGTTTATATTACAGCAGAGTTTTTATCGTGCTCGCTTCAGCAGCACATACACAAAAATCAGAACAATGCAGAGATTAGCATGGCTCCCGTGCAAGAATAAAGCAGATTACTTATAGGCAGCATATACTTAGATTTTGCTTTTATTTTATGCAATCTGGTCATCTTTCCTTTCAATTGGAACATTTAGACCACTTACATTTAAAGCAATTATCAATATGGATAAATTTAAATGTAACTTTTTGATATTTTTTCCTTTGTCCATCAGTTTCTGCTTTCTTTGGATTAGCAGTATATTTAT